GACATGGCAAATATTGTCCTCATCAATTAAATACTCTATCCTTGTTCTTATCAGCTTTAAGATGTTGATAGACGGAATATCTCTTTATAATATAACTCGCAACTTGGCCAAAATTGATCAGAGATTTCTAACTTTACAATAACATTTACTTATAGTTTAGCTTTTTAATTAAGTTGATTAGGCTAATTTGCAACACTTCTCCAAAAGGCCGAAATTCTCGGCTAATCAGTTTACTCCCACTAATATTATCGTCAATTGTTTTTTCGGCTTGGCCTAATTCCTCAAGGGAATATTTAATTATTGCACTAATTATCGATTTAGCAGAATCAGAATCCCAAAAATGACGAACCATGTGCAATGTTCTTTTTTATACAATTTATATAATATAATGCATCATTTTATAATCAATTTTTTTATTCCAAAATCACGCATGAATTAATATATCTCTATTAAGTTGGTGCTCGTAACATTGCCGACTAGGTCCTTGCTTCTAGAGATGTTTATAGTCCGTTTAGTTTGAATTTTAATATTTTTTAAATCAATTGAATTTAAGAAAACTGATTTTGAGATAATTTTTTAATATCACATTTTGGTGTAACTTAATATGTCATTTAAATTATTAATTATTTTTATTTATGTGAAATTCATGATATTAAATATATCTACTCATTTAATAATACGTGAAAGTTGTATTAAAATATAATATAAAAAAGTTATTGCTATAGTATCATCCTTAATTTAATCAGTCAATAAAAATTTTAAATTAATCTAATTTATTATTATATGACAACTAAATCAATTTAACTTAAATTAAATTGGTGTGGTTTAGTTGGATTGATTGGTTTTTAATATTAATAAATATATAAGATAATGTAAAAAAATTTAATATCAAATAGAAAATATAACTTTAAAATATATTAATATTTAAATAAGTAGAAACATAATTAAGAAAGGCACAAATTATAAGTAAATTTTTTACTACTTTACAATTGTAAAGATTAAAAAAATCTAAAAAATCTAAAAATTCTTTTGATTACATTATCAAAGGCACCAAGAATAATAAAAGATAAACCTTAAATTTCAAATATAGTGCAAGTAATTCTTAAATGTTAAATTTTTGGAAAATGCTTTGTGCACCCTCCGGTTTAACACCCAGGGGTGCACACCCTTAATAACCAAATAATTTTAACAATAAAATTACAAATTTAATCTTAAAAGTCATCTTCCTCCCAATATCCCTTTTTCTTCTTGTCTCTCCATCTTCCTCTACCGAACTTTTCTCCTTCCCTGAAACCAGATTTGCTTCACCCTTTTATTATTATTTTTTTTTTGGGGCTACTTGGTGATGACGATGATGATGGTGGTGATGGTGACGATGGTGATGGAAAACAGAGAGATCTATGGTTCTGCCCCTCTCCTTCTATTTCGATGGTGATTAAGGATGGTGATGGAGGTGGAGGTTGTGATGATGATGAGATGCAAGGAGATGGTCTAGATCTACAGAAGGGAGAAGAATCGAGAGAGAAGAAGAGGTGGGTTCTCGGAGAACCTAGACTAAGAGAGAAAAAAAAAAGGGGTCTGGGTTCTTTTGAGAACCCGAAATAAAAAAAAAAAAATTTGGGTTCTTCTCGAAAAACCCAAACTTGGCTCTCCATCTAGGTTCTCTCAAGAACCTAGAAGAAAAAAAAAAAAGGAAATAGTAAATTTGTAATTTTACTTTTCAAATTATTTGGTTATGTGGAGTGTGCATCCCCGGGTATTGAACCGGGGTGTACATGAATCATTATCCTAAATTTTTTTGTCTTGACACACCAATGACTCATTCTCATCTTCTAAATCAATTAAAAGCAAATAAAATTTAAAATGAATATCACTAAGATTGATTAAAAACATTCATAATCAAGATTTAAAACTCTTCAACCAAATATCTAAGAATAACATAATATCAAGATTGGTTTTATTATAAAATTTTAAGACTTTTGGAGTAATGCTTTTTTAAGGTTTAGTTAGGAGAATTAAAATATTATTTTGTTAACAAATTAGAAATTTAAAGTTCTAAAAGTAGAGTTGTAGGTCATTTCTAAGGGGTAGAATTATAGATGAATTAAAAAATTTAGAATTAGGATTAAAGTATACTATTAAGAAAAAAAATAAATTAAGAAATATGGGAATTTTTTATTTTTATTTTTTAATTAAGTTAATGAAATTATTATCTTATGATATAAGAAAAAAAATTTAATACTATAAAAAATCATATTATTTAATTAAATTATTTTATAATTAAATTTTATTTTGTAATTAGGCAGATCAAGCGATATAAAAGTAAAATCACAACCTAAACCAATTACATCGGTTTTAAAATTTTATAATTTAAATCAAATTAATCTTATTTTGGTTATAATTTGATTTGGTTTTTAATTAAATTGGGTTAGTTTGAGCCGAGTCAATCAAATTAGATTGGATTAATTGGATTAAGGGCATGTTTAATTCAGCTTCCAAGTGCTTCAGCTTTTTGATATTATTTATGTTTCAGAAGTTTAAATTTTCCTCTTAAAAACTTACATTTTTAAACTTTTTTTTTAATTTTAAAAAGATTTCAAACAGTAAAACTCAAAAGTTTCAAATCTAAGTTTTTCATAAATTTTTTTTCTATTCACTTTTTCATATTTCTACAAGTAACTTTTAAATTTTTCTTCCAATAAAAATTTAAACTTATAACTCATAAACAGTATAAAAAAAATAAAAAAACTCTTACAAACTAACTCAAACATGCTTTAAATTAGATATAAACACCCTACTTGCTTCCTTCGGTTTCCTTAACCTCAAGAGATTCTCTCGTTCATTT